CTCCCTTCCGCGCTCCCCCCACCCCCGCCTTCCTTCGGGGAGGTAACGGCCGCGGGGCCTCGGCGGGCGGGCGGGGGGGGGGGGGAGGGGGGGGCTCGCCCCTGCCCTCGGACGCGCGGAAAGGGCGGGAAGCGGCCGCGCTCCCTCAGCCCGCGCGCCGCCGCCGCTTTGCCGCCAAAACCGCCGCCCGTGGGCGGGCGCGGGGCCTCCCCGAAGGGGCCCCCGTGAAGGCGGGGAGGGGGGCGCGGCCGCGCTTCCGCCGGGCCTCGCGCTGCCCCCTGCCCCGCGCGGGGCCGAGAGTCACCCCTGGGGCAGCGCCCCCCTGCGGCGGGGCGGACCGGCGCGACCCTCCCAGCCCCGCGGACCGGCTGGTACGGCTCTTGTCTCGCCCCGCAGGCTGAAGGAGATACCAAGGGCGATAAGGCCAAAGTTAAGGATGAGGTAAGAAGTTGGGCGTCTTGAGAAAACTTGGATCGGGGAACGTTTGCGGGTGGGGGGTGGTGCTTAGTGATATTTTCACCGGGAAGCAGGGGCGGAAGAGGTTCCTTTTGCTGGATGCTGCCCTACAAAGCGTTGCCTGTTGCTTTTAACCCAGGAAAAACTGCCTAACTTCTGCCGGTTGGTAGCAGAGATGTCAGCAGGGTGTTCCCATGCTCCTCAAGAATTGGAAACTTTACATTGACTTTTGGGATTCCATTGCTTTGAACTCAGACTCAATGGTTTACATTTCCTCACACTAAATGCAATCTTTTTGCTTTTTCAGCCACAGCGGAGGTCGGCAAGGTTATCTGCTGTGAGTATTCTGGGATGGCACAGCATTTCTTAGCTTTGTGCATTACGTACTGTGGCTGTGAGAGCTGTGGGCTTTCAGAGACGCCTTGCTGGGCTGGAAGAAAGAGACTGGTGTAACAAACTGCCCCATTGTGTGTGCTGGGGGAGTGGCAGATCACTGGCAAATCCAGGAAGTGCTTTGATTTCAAGTGTTTAGATTTCCTTTCCTAAAAGTAGACCAGTTGGGGTGAATATTTTAATGTATTTGTGTTCCTCATAAAGTAACATTCATAGATTGGGTTTTCTTACGCTTTCTTACAGAAACCTGCCCCTCCGAAGCCAGAGCCTAAACCTAAAAAGTCAGCTCCAAAGGTGAGTTGCTCTGTGCTGCTCCTGAGATGTAAGTGGGAAACAAGCTTTAGACTTGTCCACTGATTGGTCTTGGTACCCTAGAACTTGGAATCAGAGTGGTGGCATCAGGACGTGTTGTCACTTCTACAAAGTTTTTGCTATAGCTTTAAACTTGCATTAAAAGAACCCAAGACCCGATACAGTTCAGGATGGCACTTGGCAGTTGTCAGTCTTAAACTTGTGAACGTTGGGTGTTGTGCTCATTTTCAGGCTGACATCCCATGTTGGTTTTACCATGCTAGGTTTTGGATTCCTGTGGCTTAATGACTATTGATAATTGTAATGCTGTGTGTCGTTTGCGTTCGACAGAAGAGTGAGAAAGTGCCCAAGGGAAAGAAGGGGAAAGCTGATGCTGGCAAGGAGGGAAACAACCCTGCAGAAAATGGAGATGCCAAAACAGACCAGGTACAACAGCAGCTCTAGCAGAGTGTGGCACATCAGCAAGTTACTGTTCCCTGTATCAAACTTAGGCAAGCCCAGGCTTGTGATGATGAAGATGAATTATCACTCAATTATTTAGATCTGTTGATTATGACTTGACAGCACAGCTATGGATGCAGGGAGCTGTGTTGCTCAGTTGGTAACAAGTTACTGGTTGAAGTACTTGAGTGAAAAGTTACCTTCTGTCTTTTCTGAGGTGGTGTAAACTTAGCAGGGCCTAAAGCAGCTCCAGGTTACTTTTTGCAACCTTGAATTTGGTTTGGTTAAAAGTTACAGTGACAAAATTTCAGCTATTCAGAGAATTGTTACTCAGGAAAATAAATTACTATTTTTTGGTGCGTGTGTGGTGTGTATTGACTGGTTCCCCTTTTTCTTTCAGGCACAGAAAGCCGAAGGTGCTGGTGATGCCAAGTAAAATGTGTGAATTTTTGATAACTGTGTACTTCTGGTGACTGTACAGTTTGAAATACTATTTTTTATCAAGTTTTATAACAATGCAGAATTTTGTTTTACTTTTTTTTAAGCTATGTTGTTAGCACACAGACCGCTTTGTTGTTGTGTTTTTTGGGGGGGGCAGTGGGACAAATGTCACTTAATCTGTTTC